CAACGTGACTGCGGAAAGTTGTAGTCTTCTGGCCGTCGTTGGCCTGTCGTCGTTCGCTGCTCGTTGTTGCCTTGCTGTTGTCAGCGTTAGGTCGTTAGCTTGTCGTTGGTCGCTCCTAGGTGTTCGATTATTGTCGTTGCTTGTCTTGTTGCTGTTGTGGACTGCTGGCGCGCTGGTTCCTGATGCAGCTGTCGCGTTTGCCGTGGCTTGTGTTGTTGTTGGTGGCGCTGTTGTTTTGCTGGTTGTTTTTGCTGTTGTTTGCGTCGTCGCTGCTGTCGCTCGCGCGCGTCGCGCTGCTTGCGTGCGCGCTCGTGATTGCTGCCGTCGGTTCTGTTGCTCTGGCACCTTTCTCCTGTTTCCGTGCTGCGCCGTCGGGGCCGGCGGTCGCCTCGCTCATAGCCACGAGCACCTCGCCCCCACTCTGCCCGAAGGCGCCTCGCTCAGAGCTCCCAGCGGCTCGCGAGGCGCATCGAGGATGAGTCAGGACTTGGAGTTGAGGCAGGAAGCGGGGCAGAGCTCGGCACCGAGCGCAAGGCGTCGCGCTGCCTCGTCGTTGGGGGCATGCAAAGGCGGCCGCGCTTCTCCTTGGGCTCGACCTTGCAGGAGCCCAGCTTGAGCCCCTTGTCCTCGGGCTTCTCGTCGTCGAAGCTCTTGTCCTCGAGCGCGCTGGAGTCCTCCAGCTTCTTGTCCGAGATGTTTCCCGCAAGCGCTAGCGGCCGCTGCTGGGCAGGCGGCCGCGACTCAAATGAATTACCCCCGCGGCGACACCGGCGGCGGATTCGGTTGAACATGGGCAGTAAATGGGCGCCTGGACGGCGCATCGGCAGGAGAACTGGCTGCGCGAAACACATGTGCACTAGAACGGGGTCCGCGCAGACGCCCCCCTGCAGCGCCTCGGAAGCGCGCGCTGGAATTCTCTGCCCCGGCGAAGCGCGAGGGCATGCTACAGCGCGCCGCAGGGGCAGGGGGGGGGGGGGAAGGGGGAAGAGGAGGAGGAGGAGGAGGAGGAGGAGGAGGAGGGAGGAGGAGGAGAGGAGGAGGAGGAGGAGGAGGAGGAGGAGGGGGAGGGGGGGCTAAGCGATGCAAACATGCCCCAGATTCGTGTCACCTGGGCCCCGGATTCGCATCGCAATGAAAAGCAATAGTCTACAGCAGATGCGTTCCATTGCCCCGGCGTTCGACGCAATGAAGCTCGCAATCTTTCGGGGTCGTTTCCTGCAACAGCCAGGGCTTGAGCGCGCGCGCGGGCGCCCCGCTGTAAACGAGGGCGCCCTCTGAGGCGCGGCGTGCCCCAGAACCTGGGCAGAACGCGGTGGCCCTGCCCAGCTTGAAACACCATTGTTCTGGGCAGGCTGCCGGGGGGGCCCCTTGCCAGCTGCTCATAAAAATTCAATTGGCGCGGTAACAAACAAACTGCCAGTGGGCATGCTTCCGCTGCCGCCCGCGCGTCAGCGTCGCTGGCGCGAGACAGGGAAGCTGGCGCGATTTTGAAAATCTGTCGCAGACATTTTGCTTGGAAGGTGTCAAGTCCAGTCCGGTCCGCCTTCAGTAACATGCAAGATTCTAGCCCATATCACAATTTAGTATGCACGCAAGCTTGAAGCACCCACAATTTGCGCCGTCGGCTCACATTCGCATGGCTCCACACTGCGCGTAGCTTGCAGATGATCCGCTCGCTTCCCCCAGGCGCCGTGCGAGCTCGGTTCCAGCTCTCCCATCTGCACTTAATAATCCGCCCAGGTAAACTGCATGTTCTTCGCATTTGATTGCCTCGCCGTTTGGCCCAAACACAGCGTCGTTGGTTCGTGCTCTCAGTGAAATTGTTTTCCCGGCATTCAGATCAAGACCAAACGTTGCGCCAATCTGCGCAACTGTCGCGACATGTTTCTTGGGGGGAGGGCTGGTCTTCAGCCGCGAGCATCGCGTCGTCGGCGTGCCAGACGTCGTTTGTGGTGATGCACGGCTTGCCTGTGAAAATGTCGCAGTCGGTTGCCCGCTTGTCGCCCGCGGCCTCCAGGGGCGCGGACATAACAATAATGAAAAGGTATTGAGACAGCGGGCATCCCTGTGCTATTCCAGCTACTTGAACTCGTTGTGGAGATACAAGAGGGCCCCCTTTGACAACGAACCGCCGCACCCTGTATTTCGCCGCAATCATGTCGAGCATCGCCGAAGGCACGCCGAAGTGTCGGAGTGCGAACAATATGCCGTCTGTCTTGATACGATTGAAAGCTTTACTCCAATCCAAAAGTAGTATAAGCAGCTTCCCATATTTATCGTCGAGGGCAGCATCCACCAGCCTGCGTGCTTAAAACAATGCTTCGCTAATTCCTCTGCCTGGTCTGAAACCAAACTGGGTTTCACGTAACCTTGCTGCTGCTCCGCCCTCCTTGAAACGATGCAAGATAATGTTGGCGAGGATCTTGTAGCCGACTGCTAATAATGATATGAGTATGTAGTTGCCCAGCTGCGACGCGCCCCCCTTCTTGAAGATAGACACCACCGACGTTTGCCGCCACTGCGCTGGAATATCTTTGTTCTGCCAGCATGCGTCGCAGAGGTCCCGTAGAATTTCCAAGGCATCGTTGTTCGACCATAGTGCGTGCCAAAAGTCGGGTGGAACGCCGTCGCTGCCTGCCGCCTTTTGCGCCCGAAGATGCGTCGCAGCTCGTCGCGCTTCTTCTAACGCAATACTTCCGGCTTCCATCTGCAAGCAACAATTGTCGGCAACCGTATCTGGCACATTCAGCCCAACATGACACGCGCGCCATTGTACTTGTTCGAGGTACTCCGCCATCGTTTCCGGTCTTTGTGCAGCATCCACAAGATTGCCACTCAAGTCGCGGAGCCTTCCAGTCGTCGCGGCTTGTCCTTTCCGGAGAGATCGCATTGCTCTTCACCTATCTTTGTCAACAGCCTCATCTAGCCACTGTCGTCTGTCGGCGCGAGCAGACACCTGGATCTGTTTGTTCAGTATTTTGACCTTGTTCATACTTGCTCCACTGTTCCTGGAAATATTCCGTTGATCTATGAGGCGCAACGTTCTCGAGGAAATCCATGGCCGCCGTGCGTAGCAACGCACGGAGGGATTGCAGCAGCAGCGGATTCAAGCATGCACTGTGCCACTGCAGACGCTTTCGCATCAAGATCTCTATGTCCAGGTTGTTGCCTCCATTTTTTCACGAAGCCCTCTGCGTACTTGCAAGCGGTGCTGACATCGAGGAGTTCTGCCATGTTTGATCGAGGTGGGCGCTGGTGATGGTCTGCTTTTGGTATGCGGATGTCCAAATCCACGATTAAGACGAACTGGTGGAACTGCAATGCTCTCCAACGGTCGCTCCAAGCATTCACAACAGATGAAAAACCAATTTTGTGCAACGATAACGTGGTGTAGCTGATCAAAACGTCCCGGCTGGATGTCGCTGGCGGGGTGCACCCCGAGATCGTAATAGGTGACTTTGGCCTCAGCTCCCGTAGTGAAGAACGTATTCGCGAATGTAAAGTTCCAGCACTAACTCTCTATTAGATGTTGGCTTCCATTGCCCCTGTGGGTTCTGAAATAAATACTGCCCCAGAATTACTTGCTCTCCTGGGTATCGCCGTAGCAGTCGAGCATTAAAGTCGCCGAGTAAAACGGTAGGCCCATGGGATTTGCACTTGGCTGTAAAGCGCAATCGGTCCGTGAAGAAGTCGTGCCGGATGTCGTAAGGGTGCTCGTTCGTCCACGCGTACGCCGTGAGGATCGTGAGGGTACCCCCTTGCACCCTCACGCGGAGGCTGGCCATTCGACTATCTTGGAGAAGATAACCTTTGACCGCATGGCGTCCCCATGGCGCAACTATGAATCCGATTCCTGCGTATTCTCTGCCCTCGCCCTCCGACCCAGAGAGAATTATGACATACCCTTCGAAAGTAAACACTTGCGAACCACGGCAGTGTGTCTCTTGAAGACGCAACACACAGATGTTCAAATTGCATATGTGTCGTGTTAGTTCGTAAAGCTTACGCGGCTGCTCCAAGTTGATGCCTTCGACATTCCAGGTAGCAGTACGGCCGCAATCGACTGGCCAACATGGATATGTTTCCCATTTGCCCGTCGATGCTTCCTTAAAGGTGCCGGTAAGCCGTTGCGACCCCTATTCGGAACGCGAACCACCGTTCTTACCCTTCCCACCGCCCTTCACGGCGCGTTCCAAAACAGAATTGGCACGCTCGGTCAGGGAGGCTACTTCCGCGCTGCCCGTGAGGCTTGCCCAGTGTGCCCAAGGGCCTTGCCACTCAATTTGAAGAGCGGGCCCAGAAACACGCACACTCACCACAGGCTCCTTAGCAACTTTGAGTTTCCTTATATCGGTTGCTCGAAGGTGGGGTCCTGGAGGGATGGGGTCCTGCGGATAGGAAGAAATGCAAGGGTGGATTTACTCTGCTTGAGGCACCTCGTCCTTCGGACCAAATCCCACAGGACCCCTAATATTGCCGAGTCCATCTGGACCCCGGTCCCCCGGACCCCTTCGACGGCATCGCCCTCAGTCTGAGTTCCAGTAGGGACTCGACCACAAGAAACCTTCCACAAGAAACGAAACCCTGAGACCCCAGGGCGTCCACTGATTTTTAGTGTGGGCACGTCACGCTTTCCAAAGAAACATCATCGAAACCTAAGAAACCCAGGGCACCATACACGCGCGGTCTCTCGCCATCCTGGGCCCCACCGTGGGGCCGCCTTGGGGGCCCATCGCGATGAGGCCTCCCCGAGCCCTTCGCGGGGAACCCTCCCGGGGCCGTCATTCTGAGGTCTCCCGAAAATGGTCCGAGCAGATGGGTGCCGTCGGCGTGGAGAAGATCGGGCTCCACATCGAGCCAGATCGCCGATGCACCTGCGATGCTCCGACCCCGCCCTACTCGGACCTCACTCTGGGGGGCCTGGATGACCGCCGCGTGGGCCGCTCGTTGGGCCGAAGGCGGCGCGTCGTCGTCGCACCGCGCCCATGGCGGCCCCGCTCCTCCTCGATCGCACTGGGCGCCGCGGCCGCCGAGCATGGCGGCTCCGCCTCGCGGAGGTGTCGGGGGGGAGGCCTCCTCCTCCTCTTCCTCCTCCCCCTCCTCCTCCTTCTCCTCCTCCTCCTCTTCCTCCTCCTCCTCCTCCTCCTCCTCCTCCTCCCGGGAAGAATCGCAAAACAAATTACTCGACGCGAAGATCCCCTTATGTACATCTCATAGTGATGGCAAACTTCGGTAGAAGACATTGTCCTCTTCAATATCCGAATGTCAACGAATCCACGTGGAAAACGCGGCCGAGAGAGACGCCGACGACTACAACGACTTTAAATAGGTGCTTCCTCGTTTCGTCCTCCTCCTCCTTCTCCCTGTCCTCCTCCTCTTTCTCCTCCTTTCCCTATGCACGCCTGTCAGGACAATTCATCCGTGAAGACGAGAACGGGCCCATGCAATACCCCCTGGCGCCCCCCCTTGGGAGCTCTGAAACCAGCGCCTCGCCTGAGACATCCTCGGAAACTGCTCCGAAAGAGAAGGATGTTCAGCACCCAAACAGGCAAACCACCTGAGACATCCCCCCAATCTGGGCGCGCACGGGCCTGCGATAGACCCCCTGGCGTCCCCCCTTGGGGGTGCTAGAACCAGCGCTTCGCTTGAGACATCCTCGGGAACTGCTCCGAAAAAAGAAGAATGATGGGCACCCAAACAAGCAAACCGCCTGAGACACCCCCCCGGATGTGGGCGCGCACGGGCCTGTGATATACCCCCTGGCGTCCCCCCCTTGGGGGTGCTGGAACCAGCGCTTCGCTTGCGACATCCTCAGAAACTGCTCTAAAAACCAAAGATGAAAAGCTCCGAAACAGGCAAACCGCTTGAGACATCCCCGCAATTGTGGCCCGAACGGACGAATGCAATACCCCCTGGCGGCTCCCCCTTGGAGGACTAAGTGAGCGCCTCGCTCGAAACATCCTCCAAACCTGCTCCGCAAGCCGAGGATGTCGGCCACCAAACCAAGCAAACCGCTCGAGACATCCCCGCCATTTAGGCGCGAACGGACGAATGCAATATCCCCTGGCGGCTCCCCCTTAGAGGCGAAAACGAGCGCCTCGCTCCTCCAAACCTGCTCCGCTAGCGGAGGATGTCGGCAACCAAACCAGGAACACCGCTCGAGACATCACCGCCATTTAGGTGCGAACAGGGGAACGCAATACCACCTGGTGTCTCCCCCTTGGATGCGAAACTGAGCGCCTCGCTTGACACATCCTCCAAACCTGCTCCGAAAGCGGAGGATGTCGGCCACCTAACCAGGCACACCGCTCGAGACATCCCCGCCATGTTGGCACGAACGGAGGAGTGTCATACCACCTGGCGGCTCCCCATTGGATGCGAAAATGAACGTCTCGCTCGATACATCCTCCAAACCTCCTCCGAACGCGGAGGATGTCGGCCACCGAACCAGGCACGCCGCTCGAGACATCACCGCCATGTTGGCACGAACGGAGGAGTGTCATAACACCTGACGGCTCCCCCTTGGAGGCGAAGCTGAGCGCCTCGCTCGAGACATCCTCCAAACCTGCTCCGAAAGCGGAGGATGTCGGCCACCAAACCAAGCAAACCGCTCAAGACATCACCGCCATTGTGGCGCGAACGGGAGAGTGTCATACCCCCTGGCGGCTCCCCCTTGGAGGCGAACATTAACGCATCGCTCGGGACACCCTCCAAACCTGCTCCGAAAGCGGAGGATGTCGGGCACCAAACCTCCGAGAGAGTATGCGTATGAGTGAGTCTCAATGTGCACATCTCTGAATAGTATGAGTGCAAAGGAATCTGAGTATGGACGAATCCAAGTATTGAGGAGACGAGAATGGGAGGAGGCCTGCCTGAGGAGTCGGCGGCATCAGAAGAATAACGAGAACCCCATCTTAGGGTATGGGGAACAAACCGAAGTTCCAATACGTCCGCGCAGATTTCTTGGATCGGCACTGATGGAGGCCCAGCGACCTCGAAGACATCTACGCTAACCACCGCAGCGCTGTATTTACGATGACGCGTCTTCTTCGATCCTCCTCACAGAGATGACTCGGACTCAGGCTTGCCACGTGGGGCCAGCGAGGGCCCAGCAAGTTGGCGCTGGGGCGCTGCCCTGCCATATTGATCAAAGAGGGCGCAGAAGATTCGAAACAGAATCGGAGTGGATGTGCGGTGGGCAAGACGGAGGGGAGTAAGGGGGTCATCCAGCTGAGCCTGAAGCGCGCGGAGACGGCGGCACCTGCAGCCCCATGCGTAGCCCGACAATGAAGAAGGATTGCACCATCCCAAGCCATGCGTGCCGAAGAGTCTGCCTTCTCCCCACTGTGAGCGCCCACAGAGAGAGAATTACTACTTCAGCATTGAGGGTACACTCGTCAAGAGGCCTGAGCCTCAAATGGCCCTGCCCAGGGGGCTGCGACGGTAACCCAAACCGCGTGCCCGTGCCCGCCCAGAGTTGGGCGACGAAATCTGTACATACCCACCGCCCCTGCCAAGGACCGCCCTGGCCCAAGATGGATGTACACCCCTTATGCCCCCTGGCCTGGCAAGGGAGGCATCTATACCTTGTGGACCCAAAGTGGGCCTGGCCACGGAATGTGGATATGTATGAGAGAACGTGTTTCGTGGACGCTTGGTTGGACAAAAGACCAATGGACACGTCGGAACCGACCCCCTCCTAACATTTGAAGCGCCCGGAGAACTTCCCCCTCTTCCCCCCTTAGTAGAACCCAGTGAGTGCTCGACCAAGCTCTCATAATCCGAATATAGATGTACCCTACTTACCAACAACATCCCCGTCGACCTATCCATCTCCCATCTAATCCTAGGTCGATCCAGCTCTAACTGAATCCTACGACTCAGGCTCGATCCAGCTCACACATAATCAATGCTTTTGTAGCTGGATCAAACCTCTAACAGCACCGTAACGGAACTCGGTCAAATCATGATCGGATCCTGTTACAGTTCAAACCAGCTCTAATTGAATCCTGCTATGGCTCGGCTCAGCTCAACTAGAATCCTGCGATAGCTGGATGGAACTATATTTGAATCCGACTGAGGCTCTGTCCAGCTCTAACAGGATTTTACTAGGGCTCGATCCAGCCTTACTAGCATCCTACTCAGGCTCGATCGTCGTCGTCGTCATCGTCGTCGTCGTCGTCGCTGCTCCACGGCGCCGGAGCGGGCGCCAGCGCTCGCCGTGGTCGGTTGCCACAGGGAGGAAGGCCCCCCCCCGTTCGAACCCCCCCTCCCCCTTGCAATTCATGGGGGGGGCCTCTTCCCCAGTTCGAACCCCCCACCCTGGGGGGGGGGGGCGCCCGGTTCGAACCCCTTTCCCGCTTGCGATTCAAGGCCCCCCTCCTGGTTCGACCCCCCCTCTCACACCGTCCAACAAGGCCAATGCAGCCGGAGGCGGGCACCGCAGCGGCAGGGCTGCGTCAGAAGCTGCGGAACTCCACACACGAATTGCACACCGCACGCGGCGCAGGAAACGCAAGGACCGACGCTCTGGAACCTGGGGTCTGCACCAGGCGCACACCGGGCGGGAGGAGAGCTCTCTCGAGTCCGAGCGGTTCGACAACAACGAGCACATCGGATACCGCTGGACGCGGGGCAGGCTCGCTTGCGTCGGGAGGCGACTCGGCGTCGGCCGTCGGCGCGGAGGTCCGTCCGAGCTTCTGAGCAGACCGGAGCTGGTCGTTGCGCGGCGGAGAGCACCGCGGGCCAACCGCCTGCAGCTGACGAGCCAGAAACTCGGCGACGAAGGGGACTGCCTTGCGGGAGTCCGTGGCGCGGTCCACTGCCGTCACATCGCGCGGGAGAAGTTAAGCACCGACGCGGGCCCCGAAGGTCGGTACAGCGATCGCCCCCAGTCGCTTGTGGGCGCTGCGCTCGGCCTGGCCATCCCTCGCGGCAAGGAGCGCGGCTCTCGACCTTGCTTACTCCGAGACCTCGAGTCGTCCACCCCATCCCACAGCGGAGCCCGCAGGTCGGCCGCCTCATGCTGGGCACATGTGGTCTCGAATCCTCCTGCCAACAAACTCGCGGCCGAGGAATTGAATCCAATGCCGAAATGGGCCTGACAATATATGGCGCAGACACGTCCGTGTAAGGAGCGAAGGCATTAGCTACATCGGACCCCTGGTGGACTCCTTGGAGCAACCCGCAGGGAGAGACCAGGTCTGCGACGTCCCGAGCCAGCCAGCGCGTCGGAGCCGTTCATCGAGACCGACCGCGGAAGCAGCACTCCACCACAAAAGAAAGAGAGGGACCTTGGTCCAAAGGTCGAAGGTCCGAAATGCTCAGCCTGGGTGCTCCAGGACGCCCCTGCTGAGGCAGGATGAAGGTTCTACTCTTGCACATGCAAGTCGCTAGCCACTCTCCTGACAACAGGATCTCAGGGTACCAGGGCATGTGCCGCACAAAAGGTTACTTCCCATCGTGGGCGAGGCCATGCTTACTTAAGCTTGCGCTGCTGGTCCCGACTCCAAAGGACCGCCAGAGATCGGACGGAGGCCTGATGCTGGCGGTTCCAATATCTTCTACGAACACCACTGCACGATCTGCCAAACGGAAGAGGCAAAGAGAAAAGATCCGCCATGAATGTTCACATTCGACTAGCACTGTCCATCAGCCAATGATCGACTCCCCAACGTGCATGGCGGAGCACCGCGCGAGGGCACATCATCGTTGAATCGATGTTCGCATCCTCAGCAGTGAGGAACATGCAAACAACTTGGCCGAGCCTCCAGCCACTCCTGCGACGACCCTCATACTCGGTGCCAAACGCTCGTCGAGCTGGCATGCTCGGCAAATGTTCGATCGTTTTGCAATCGCCTCGCAAGAGATCGTAGAGCACCAAGCAACCTGCGAGACTTGAATCGGGTATACCGTCCTGACGCACGCAAGCTTGGGTAAAAAGCGAGACTCCGTGCCAGCGAGCGGCTAGCAGTGTGCAAGAAACGCGCAGAGTGAGCAGCCCTCATCATCGACATGGCCCCACTCCAATCCCGTCCATACAAATTGTCACCCCAAGTTCTAGCTGTCGTCGGCACCTTGCTGACCAATTTTACCCACGTCAGCCTCTCGCTCGGCGCAAGGCCCGAATGCGAACAGCATGCCCTGAGGCGGCAACGGCCCGCCAGCTGCGGATGGTCATGCCCGTACGGCAGCCGCGCCGAAGTCCGTGGATCGTCTGGGCGCCCCCCTGAGCGCTGGACAACGCCTCGCCACTTCCTGGGCGCACTTCGCGCTCTTCGTCATCAACACCTCCACAAACCGCTACTCACCTCAAACCCATCATCTTAGAGCCCCCCGCGCAGGCGCCGCGATGCCGCACTAACACGGCCAGCCACCAAGCGCTGCTCGCCTGCTTTTGCCGCTGGATGTCGTCGTTCACGCTGCCCGCGCTCACCTTGCTGCAGGGCGCACATAGATGCCGCCCAAGCGTGGCAGGCGAGGCATGCGCATGCCTGGGAAGCTGAAGCCAGCCACTGCCCCCAGCCACGGGATGCAGCAGCCCGGGGCGAAGTCGCCACGCCAAGACCCGCCTGAGCACAGAGTGGGAGCATGATCGAGACTAGCACGAGCTTCAAGAAGAGGCGGCGTCCCGCCGGGAGCCGCCACGAGATGTACTCGTAGGCCTTGAGACAAATGCAGCAGCACCGAGCACAGCACCTGTCCCCGATGCGCAACCAACTCCGAACTCCGCCGCTCGCTCCCTGGATCCAGCTCCCGCCCGCCGTGACGCAGGTGCACAAGCGCTTGTGGTCATCAGTTCACTTGGCCTCGCACGGGACACGCGTCCACCGAGCAATCAGAAGGGCCGATCAGTGACGCCTGGGAATGAGCGGCCGGCGCGGCCTCTCGATCGGCGTCACCAGGACGTCGCCGAGGTCAGCAGGCCACTCGACAGGCCTCGGCTGCCTGCAACGGGGTCTGCAGCCCGATCGCAGGCGCCCACTTCGCCGCCACCCACGGTGTGGGCTCGCGGGTCCACCTGAAGGCCCTGTAGAGGAGTCTTGGGCGTCGTGGCGTCGCGTGGCCAATCGAGCCACGGTTTGTCGCGTCGGAAATTACGGTGCTCTTCCTACCGCACGCTCGGCACAACGGCGAACAGGTCTGGCAAGAGCCGGTCGAGATTTCCCAGCGTCGTGCAGCTCATCTTGCACACGAGGGCCCCGACCGCATCTCGGAAAGATACCCGGGCGCTGGTGGCCCGTGCCCCATCGGCTGAGGCTGCAGCGGACGAGCGTGCCGAGAGGCCGCCGTAGCGCCGGTGGCTCGGACCAGCTCCCACTCGTGGGCACGAATGGCAGGCCAGGGCCAGTGACCATCGCTCGCATCGGGCTTGGGCGCGTGCCAGCTGCAGGGGCATCAGTAGGGGCAGGACTGGCAGGAGCGCCGCCTCCTGGAGGAGGGTGTGGCCATTCTGGAGAGCGGAGGGTGGGCAAGGAAGAAGCAGAGTGACGAGAGGGGACGAGCAGCAGCAGGATGACAAGGGGCAGGTGGGGCAGGTGCGGGAGCATGGGCAGGGAGGAGGAAACTGGAGGCTGGATGGGTTCGGCGGACGAGGAGAGGAGGGATGGACCAGAGCATAGACGTACGTAAGTCCAGGTCGAGGAAGTATCTGGTCGCCTGCAGAGCCGCTCCACCCTCCCCTCCCGCATTTTTCATTCACCGAGGCGGGTACACAAGTGAATAGCAAACCGCCGTTGCTTCCTGATAGTCCGAAATTCTACCTCCGCAGACCCCTGGCAGGGGGCCAATGGCTTATGTGCGGGTGGGGCAGCCTTGAGGGTACGAGGTGCACATGACCACCCATGTCGATGTCACGTTTCAGGGATACATCTACATATATCTATAAACATATATATATATATATATATGTATATGTATATGTATATGTATATATATAACTATATGTATCGGAGGTTGGGGGGTGAGATCGAAGTGGAACGGAGAGCCCCCCTACCGGGAAATCGATTTCGGTTTCGTGTTCGTGCGTGCCGTGCGGGCGAGGCGAAGCTGCGTGGGCGGGCGAGAGAAAGTCTCCTGTGGCTGAGGCGCGGCCGGAGCAAAAGAACCTTGACCGGGCGGCCGGTGCCCCGCGGTGTCCCGCCGGTGTCCCGCTGGTGTCCCGTGTGGCTGAGGCGCGGCCGGGGCAAAAGAACCTTGACTGGGCGGCCGGTGCCGCGCGGTGTCCCGCCGGTGTCCCGCTGGTGTCCCTTCGGTGTCCCGTCGGTGTCCCGATGATGACGTGGATGATTATGATGATGATGATGGTAATGATGATGATGGTAATGATGATGATGATGATGATGATGATGATGATGATGATGATGATGATGATGATGATGATGATGATGATGATGATGATGATGATGATGATGTTGGTGTCGTTGATGATGATGATGCTGATGCTGATGATGATGATGATGATGATGATGATGATGATGATCATGATGATGATGTGGCATTGTCACAACAACATTCACCACTGTTGCCCATTGCTGGGCCTCCCCCCCAACCTCCTTATCACCCGCAGGGTGGTCGTATAGGTGTATATGGCCCATATCAGTTTTGGTAGTTTTGGGCACAACCATTACACTGTAGTGCTGAGACGGAGAGATATGACTTTGTTTTTGCTGCTTTCGGCACACCAAGGAGATTTCCAGGCCCCGGGACCGCCGAACAAGACGACTCCAGAGGAATCACTGGTCCTAAGGAAAGGCCACAGGGGGTCTAGCACCCCGTAGTGACCTCAAGGCCACAGTTTTTTCTTCATTCCGAGCTGTCGGGCTCGAAACGAGGGTCGGGGACCAGGGCGGGACATGGTGACGTGGACTGCAAGTGCAGCCGCAGGCGACCGCTCAGGGATCTACTGACCAGGTTCAGTCTAGACCCGGGTCAGTCAGGCTTTGTAAGATCCTTCAGGATCCTACACCTAAATCTGGGTCAGTGCACCCCTGGCCCTGCAGGACCCTGCAAGATCTGGCGTTCTGACTGACCCCCGTTTGCTTTGACCCCGGTCTCTTGAGCCCCAACGTCATGAATTTTTCATGACGCCGACCCCCAGACGTATCGACTCATTCCCCGGGACCGGTTTGGCATGGTCCCGAGGCCCAGTGAGGGCCTTGGGAAACCGAACGTAACGAAAAACCTCAAGTCGTGATTTTTGTAATGACCTGAGGGGATCTGGGTCTTTTCCAACTCCGGCGGTGCGGCAACAGCCTGCCGCCTAGGCCTACGAAAAGTCCCCGGTCTTCAGCTTCTTCGCGTCGGGCTCGAGCCCCTCCTCCCGGCGCGGGGAGGCGCGGGGCCCCACGGACAGCGCTCCGCCGCCTGCACCCGCCTACGGTGAGCAACTGAAGGATGGAGGCGGGGGAAGAGGGGGGAGGCTGAAGATAACGCCGGGTAGAAGGCAGAAGAACCACCCTCATAATGAGCACCCCTGCAAAGGATACCGTTCACTAAACGCACTCAGGTGAGGAACCGAACAAGGCAAAACTGGCCAACAAACGCCCAATACCGCAATACCGCCTAGTAAACCATGAGTCGGACCATGTATATATTATATTCCTCGAGGGTTGGATCAGATCCGTCGCAAGTGAACTCGTGATTTGACAAGGATCTCCAGTAAGTTGACAGAGAGATGCTTGAGCCAATGTCAGCTAAACAACTGTACGCGACAAAGGGGCAGCAATGATAGAGGCAGGGCATCGCGGCGATATCTCAACGCCTGGCGCAACGAACTGCCCTGCCGGCAGCGGTGCGAGCCTGGCCAACTGCGAGCACGTGAGAACGGCCGGATCGTTGAGCCTCACTCCGGAGCACTTTGTCCTGCTCATTCAGGAGAGCGCATTCAGTGGCCGAGAGCTTGGTGAAACACGGAGGGCGGGCGAAGATCTGAGGCCAACACGCTGTGCGACGGGTGTCGCAGATGTGGGCGAGGCAGTGGAGGCGAGTCTGGAGATGGGCGCCACATACTTGGCAAATGCAGCTTGCTAGACAAAACTCGCGACGCTGAGCACGTATGCCGTGCTTCGCACGTGCGTGCGACTGCAGAACGCGACTGGGAACGAAAGACATTCCGCATGACGTGAATGAGTATGTCACGGAATACGGGCTGGGAGCGGGCAGCGCGCTGGGTCCGTAGTCACAGAGCGAGCAGGAAAGTGATTGCACTTCACAGCATCACTCCACTGAGCGGGTTGTTCGACCATCATATGTATCCAAAGTGCTCAGTCGTTTATGGGGTCAGGTAGGTGCGCGCACATCGTGGCCATGCGCCTGAAGCACTGGAGGTCCTCCCGGAGCTGGGCCACCCAAGGGGTGACAGTTCCCCCCATGTGGGCCCCAAGCAGCCCGAAAAGCTCAGGAGGGCCTGGCCGCGCAGCCCGGGCAAAGTAGACTCAGCACTTATCCGTGCATACAACCAAGTGATGGCTGCTCGTGGACCGCTCGCGCATCTTAGTCCGACTCGGCGGGGCCATGCCAGCACAAGCCGAAAATGCGCCACAATGCTCTATGCACGGTACAATGATCATGTTCCGCGCAGATAGAAAGTGACAACTGAACAGCAGGCGTGAACGAGTCAGTGAATGGGCAAGGCCGAGGCGTTCCTCAACGTCAAGAGCCTCGTTCCCGGACGCGCGCAGCGACAGAGGGCTATAGGAGGCCAAGGCGGATCAGGCCCAAGCGCGGCATTCGGGCGCGGCCTGCCCGGCGCTCGACGCCACGCCGCCTGAATGCATGTGCTCAGAAACTACCTGGGTAGACTCGCCTCGTCGGGGCACCTGCACTGCCGTGGAATTGCCGCGACCTTGTCGGCGTCGTTGGCAATGCGCGGTGGAGCGCGGGCCGCGATGCGCAATGCTGCAGTCATTTCGTAAGCCCGCGCAACAAGATGCCCGCGCGCTCGTCGAGAAGCCTGGGGGCGGGCGCGCGCTGAGCATCAAGCACTCGTCGTCCACGAAAATCACGCCGACGACGCGCGCGCCCCCACGGGCGCCCCGGCTTCGATGGGGGGGGGGGGGGGCGGACCCAGCGCGCGAGACATCCGAAGCGCAGGCGGAGCACAACGCATGCTCCGAGCAACGCGTCCCGGAGCATGATCAGGCCTACGCAATAAATGCCGTGCAAGATCGTGCTGCCGAACTTGCGCCCCTGCTTGCCCCAGAGGCGGATGCTGACCGTTCAATCGACGTCGCCGTGCGCGGTCCAGCTTTTGGCGCGCAAGTTCTCGAGCAGCCAGGTGGTTTTCTCAGAGGCGCCCCATTGCTGCATGGGCGGGCCGTGGGCCGAGACGAACTTGGCGAACCAGTCGGGTTGCGCGGCAGGCAACCCAAGCGACTCGAGGCAGTCCTGCGGGCCGGCGGCGCCATGAGGCACGCCGAGAACAAATTCACGCACGCCGCGGTCGAAGGCCTTGGCCATATCCACACAGGATGAAGCGGCTACGACCGCGCAGTCTGCAGCGGTCAGCGAAGCTCAGGGCGACGCGGCTGGCGAGGTCGGTGCCGCGACCCGAGACAGCGCCAGATTGGGGGGGAGGCATGTGCTGCTCGCACGGGTCGTGGACGTCGTGGTTCAGCACAACCTCGTACGCCTTGCTCATGTTGTTATCCACGTTGATGCCGCGAGACTCGTCGCACGCGTCTTTCGGCCCCTTCTGCTCGTGGGCCTCGCAGATCTTGCTTCCGGCCCACTGGATAGGCCAACCCCCCGTCGCAATTACTTCGGCTTGGTGGCCATGGCCGAGCCGCCGGCTTTCAAGATCTCCGCGGACGCGCCGTCTGCGCCCGCGCACCGGTGGTTTGGCAGTGCGGCAGTGGCCCGACGAGCGGTATCAGGGCCCACGATGGGGCCAGGGCCGTCGGCGGGCGCCGCGACCGGCATCGCCTCCAACTCGCCCATGGTAATGAGCCTGCAGGCGAACGCGTCAGTGATGTGATCCAGCCGCCGCTGCTGCCGCTCCGGTTCGGACGTGGTCAAGAGGCCGTCGGACTTCGCGACGTGGGCGGGCTGCTTCGACTGGCGTCGCCATCCCAAGGCGCGAACAATGGCGTGCATCGCGCGCGCGTCTCCCCGCGCAGCCGCCGCTTGGGCCTCCGCGACCTTACTCTGCGAGAAAGCGATCCGATCTGCCTTCGCAGACGGCTCGATCATTTGTTAGAAGCACGCGGCCGCCGCCCAGGGCGCGCTGGAAATCGCCCTGAACTCGGGCGCGCGCCGCTGGGCCTCGGGCGCAGCACAGGCCGCGCGCCCGCCAAGATTGCCGGCCTCGCAGGGCCCGCGAACGTCGAACTCTCGGCGCACTCGGCTGGCCCACGCGCGGGGAGGAGCTCCGAGGGCAGCTCGCTGAGCCGCTGCCCGCGCGGGACTGGCAAGACGCTGGAGCGGCGCAAGTCGACGCGCCGCAGCCCGCGTCGCGGCCGCAATCCAAGGCCGCCAGGGCGCGTCCTTGAACGAACCGAAGACGTGGAGGGCAGAGGCGCACGCGTGCTTGGCGAAGTGCGCGACGAGCAACGCCGTAGACGCGATCGCGCCCTCTTGGGGGGCGGCGAGCCCGCGCGCGGGACTGAAGCGTTTCGCGATCCTCCGAGTCCGCCGAGGCAGCCTTGTCGGCGCGCCCCCGCCCCCGTGGCCCAGGGCCGCCGGCGCCGTTGCGACAGCGAGGGGCGCGCGCGAAGGTGGCGACCGAGCGACGGCCCTCCGCGGGCCCTAAGAAGAGGGCGACTTCAGCAGCGACACGCGAGGGAAGTAAGCCTGCACAGCGTCGGAGGTCAAGCAGGATGCAATCGACCCTCTTCGCGGGCCCGTGCTTGGACCGCCACGTGTACCCCACTGGGGTGCGCGTTGGCTGCCATGAGCTCGCAAAGCTCGCACGTGCGAAGACGCTGCGTGAGGCGCGGGCAGTTGTCCGCGACCGCGCCGGGCTGGCGCGGGCCAACGCGGCAGCTGTCAGGCGCAACGCGCCCATTTACGTCGGCAACAGAGACGCGCGGATAATCCGGGAGCGTGCGTTTGGCCACCAATGTGGCGCGATCGAGCTCGTCCCGGAACGGGTCCTCGACTCGCGCCGCGGATGCCTCAGTCGGGGCGTGGGCGGCGACCGCGATGATCCAGGCGTTGAGCCTATCAGACCTGCCCACGGTAAGTGCGATGCGAAGACTGGCATGGTGGACATGCAGCAGCTGCCGCTACAAAGTACGCGCAGTCCATACCTTGAAGCCGAACATTCCATGAACCTCGCCTGCACCAGCGTACATGACATAGTGCGCCCTGTCCGTGCATCCTGTGCTGTCGCGCGCCCCTCTGGGGCGCAGAAGACGTCGGCGCCGAGTTTCTCGCGGTCGATTTCGAGAGGCTGGACCTTCCCACGCATAAGACCGAAGGCACCTCTCGTCTCAGCCATGGCACTTTCCATTGGGTAGAAGGTGCTGACGTTCCCTGTGGCCGCCGTGACCTGTTTCTCGCAACCCACGGGGCTGGCAGCGTCGACCGCAGGAATGATCAGTTGTTTGGTTCGATTGTCTTCCGCACGAGGCCGTGCTGGAACAGCGTCGATTGTCGTTCTGGCGGCTGCTGCCAATGTGCCTGACCCGGTTGGGCTCCAGGCCGTCGGAGGCGTCCATGGGCCTGCTTGTTATTCCCGCGTTGCGCCACGTTGGCCCCATGCGCGATCTGGAAGGTCTGCGCGAGGCCAGTCGGCAAGTGCTGGGCGTGATCATTGGCCTCCAGCGCGTGAGCGGGGGCCACGTGCGCGTCGGATTTGAGCGTCTTCATGGGCGAGCTCAGCAGGGCGGCGATCGCATCCACAGCTTGGGCGGGATCGATCGCCCCCTGAGGCGCGCTCCCAGTGGGCCCCGGCTCGCCGCGCGTGGCGATGGCGCTCGAGCTCCTCCACGTTGCCCTGGAACGTCTGGATCTTTCGTTCGGCACCCTGCATGTCAGCCGTCGAAAGGGCCAGTGCCCTGCTCGCCTCTTCCTTTCGGGCCTTCGCCCGCCCAAGCGCTGCGCGGGCCCCGTGGAGGCGGGCCCCGGTCGGCATGGGGTTGCAGGCGCAAGCCTTCCCCGCCTCTACGTCGGCGAGAATCTCCGCGCGGGAAGCTGCAAAGGCGCCCGCAGGAGGCAATGCCTGCAGCGCCTGCTCGAGCGCGGCGACGTCGGCGCGGGCGTCCTCGGCGCCCTTCGGCGCGAGCAGCGCGGCGGGCAACTGCGCGGGCGCGGGTCTGGGGGCCGGCGGCGACGCGGCCAGCGACGCAGCAGCGGCCTCCTCGAGCTTGGCACGCA